CTTCTGTGAACTGTCCTGAGGCACTGCATTTTGTCACTCTGCATTGTGCACCACTCTCCTCAATTGCAATACTCTGCACAGTTGTAGCATGAATTTTATTTTGATATCTTCACTGTTGACCTTTCAATCAATCAATCAATCAATAAATTACCTTTGTCTAAGTACTCAGCCACTATTGTATTCTACATAATATTTGCCGGTTTGTTCTTTAATATCAAAGAGGTTTCTGAGGGGTTTTTTATCCTTCCACCTTCTCAATGATTCATTCCCTAGAATGCTTCCAGCTACTGAGCTAGTTCTGTTCTTGGATTTTAGCACCATCTGCAAGCCCTGGATAAGTAATTAATGAGATTTTCATATCCTCCTCTCTATTGCTTTTCCATTTTTCACAAGGAATGCTTTTGCCAATATACATTACCCACAACTCTAACATAAATTAACCTGGGTTTCTCGCAGCCTCCTCTGAAGCACTATTAGGGCCAGATTCCATGTGACCCTTCCAGGTATACCCCAAAAATCAGCATACAATAGTTTACTCCTTTGTATCCCTGCATAGCTACATAGTGGGTTTTCAGAAAATGCAAGTGCTGCTCTGAATTGCTCTGCCCTAGCACTGGCTGAGAGACATTACCGTCTTCAGAAGATGAAACTGGAGCAGAGAAAGGCTAAGGAAGCAACCAGAATTAAGCAGAGGAACTGTACTTTAAAAATATTAGTGAAAGCTTTCCAGTAGTCCTCTGCAGCAAAAATAGTCAAAGAACTTTCTTTGATGATACTCTAAATTTGTACTAAGCATGCTGGGGCTGATGAACACCACTAAGTTTGGAATGCCCAGCTAGGGGACTGCTACAGTCACAAATTCTTCTAGAGCTGATTAAAAACTCTGAATCTCAGAGATGTATTAATATACTGCCCTACATTTAACATATTCCAGATTATCAGCATATGATCATGGCCTTGTTTCCTGGACACTGAAAACAGACAACTATTTGATAAACACACACACACGCATATATATGTATATGTATATAGCTGTCCTGATCTGGTGGGGAAAAGGGGGAAAAGAGTATTCTATGAAAAAATGGGTTTTCCTTTTTGCTCACGTTGCTGAGCATTCCATACAACTTTTAACCACAGAATCTAATATTCTACGTTACTCCACCAATTCTATGCAATGATATACCCAGTGCTGCAAAGACAAAAGATCATATCTGCAAGTACTCACGGCTCACTATCTCTCTGATAGCAGTAGCCAGCAGTAATCCCTCTCAGTCTTCCTGCTCAGTTTATTTACAAAATGTTGGGGGCAAAAAGGTTTTGGTCTGTCTATAAGCAAAATGCAATGGGAGATTCATGTTTAAAGCAATTAGAACATCTGAAAGCAGAGATGGATCCTTCAAAATGGAACCACAGTTGTCACCTATCTACTGTCTGATCTTCCTCCTTTTTTTAACACTGCCTTCATCTATGTCCCTTCTTCCTTTAAACTCATCTGTCCATGGAGCAGAGGAAAGCAGATAGAGCAGACATAATTCAGTCACTTCCTTATTTGAATGCAGCTGTATCTCAGCTTCAACATTCTGTAGTCTCATTATTTGAAGATCTAAATTCTCTTTTGGTCCTTTGCTTAGTTTTAGTGCCCATTGTTTTATGGACTTCTTTTTCTATATGCTAATAAAAACCAAAGAATTTATGAAAAAGTGTTACCCTAAGTGTCTTGCAAACATTACAGCAAATAAAGAGCAGAAAAAATCTTCATGATTCTGTTAAAAATCATAAACAATCAAACTCTTTATGACTTGTCATTTGCATGGCTGTATTTCATACAAATTAGTGCTAATGACATATTTGTTTTGAAGGCAAACTTGTAATTTATTTTGATGCCTAAACAGAAATGGCATGGAATGTTTGGGTAAAATAGTTCATGTCAGAACTGAAAGTGCAGTCAAGAGTGTTCCAGCTGCAATCCTATGCTTAGCATAAAATGAGTATAGAGAAAAAATTATCTCCCCTTGAATACCCCCATGCCTATCCATATCAGCACAGTAGGCTGGGGTATTATTGAAGTCCTATGAGGTGTCTCTGGCTTCAGGGAACAGTGCAGTGTCTTCTTCTCCCTGCCCACACCCATTTTGCAGTTTATTTCATCACTGTAGTGTTCATGCATCATTCAAGGGTCCCAGCTGCTAGGACAGCCAATAGTCAGCAGCCAAAACCTGTTTATACAACAGAGCTGCGTCACTAGTAAAAGTTAAAGCTGTCTCAATATAGTCTATAGAAGATAGTACTCAGTTCTGAAGTGTATTGGTGTTATCAGTAAAGCATCGAGTTATATACTGTAAGTACTCACACCAAGTTTTCCAGTAAAATTAATTACAAATATATCCCTCAATTCAAGAACTAAATCCCAAACAGACCATTACTTAGGTGAATTTATGTACAGTCTTTCAAGCAGCCTATACGTTTCCATTTTGTTGGTCAATAACTAATTAAAATGTGAGTGTTAAGCTCAAATTTCCATTACTAAAAACATTCCTGAGATAAACAATTATTTACAATAAGCTGAATTTTTTGCTGTAAGACATCTCTGAAAATGTCTTTCACAACAGGTTAAAGTGGGCTGGTGAACAGCTTCTGCTTTCAGAAGACTTTAAGAGAATCCATCTCAGACCCTGGACTATTTCTGTTGCAGCACATGTTAAGCCAGATTGTGATCTCAGTCACAGTAGTGTAACAGGATAATGCAAACTGCTATGCCAGAGTAAATGTCCTACTGGTTTCAGTTGAGTTATTGCAGATTCATTTAAATGCAAGTGGAACAAAACTGAGACAAAATTTATTAAATTAATGACATGTGACATGGTCAGAATGCAGTAATCTAAGCAAAAACACTTCTAGAAATTGTAAGGGCTTACTAGGCACATAGTGATTAAAAAATATGTTAATTATTTCACTTCTCTTTTCAGAGTACAGGTCAATAGAGAAAAAGGAATAAAGTCCTACAAAATTCCTGAAATATAAACTCCATAATTACTAAGCATTATGTACAAAAGCAGTGTTTGGTCTATTTTATCTCATGAATTATCACAACTGGCTTTTACAAGTGTTCTTTTAAACTGTAAGAATCCATCCATCCACAACTGAAGTATCCTTGCAGATTAAGATTAATGTGTCATGAATCATCACGGTTTAATATGCATGACACAGTTTCATTTAACACATGTTCTGCATGGGTTGATTGCCATGTATTCCAATATCAAAGAGATGTTAATTCTTTTTTTTTTTTTGCTCCCAAAGTATGTTTTAATTACCTAGCAGGCTTTGTAAAGAAAAAGAGGGAGATATTTTGAAGCAGATTTAATGAAAAATCCAGAAGACAAATCAATAAGATTTTTAAATTCATGATTCATGCTCTCAACAACAAATTTTAATATTAAAAAGAATAGTTGATAAGCAAAGAAACTGCAGACTGCTCTCATTAAATGGCACATTCCTTGCTATAAACACAAAAATAAACTCATTTTTTTCTGTTAAAAAACATGATCTTAAAAGCCCTGCCAATTGAACATGAACTTGGTGATACAAATGTTTCTGCAAGTTATTGTATGTTTATACTATACCTAAATTCTTAAATTTGGGTATTTTGCAAAGAAATCAAAATTCCATGTAAAACATCACTGTGTAATTCCTACACCAACAGTGCTGTATGTCTGATTTTATGCATCACCTAAATTAAGAAGTCTTTAAATATAAAATATTTCATAAGCCTCCACTGTACAGAGGCCAGAAATGGAAATTAAAAGATATCCTAGGTTGAAAAGAATGTATAATGAGAAAGCTGTTTCCAGCCAGCACCAGCTCCCACTTTCTGCTGTGTCAGATGCAAGCCACAGTTCTCCAGGACCAGATCAGCAGAAGAGCCACAGGTCAGGATGGCACAGTGTTGGCCAAAACCTGTGAGCTTTAATTCCTAATTTGATCAAATGGAGTTGTGATTGTAATTTCCATGGAAGTTAGAGCATGTGTCTACCTTTGGGCCTGATCTTACTGAAATCAACAGGAACAGGAATGGCTCCCAGGGATTTTGCACTAGAATTACTTTTAGCAAGCTGAAACAGTCTCCAGGCTGGAAACTACAATGACCAAAACTGTTACAAATAATAATAGTAACAATGTTATATTTGATACATACATATTAATGTGAGATAGTATAAATAACAGATAAACAGTAATAGTAGATAAAATATTATCAAAACTAAGATATTCAGCCATAGACATCTTTCCCCACAGTAATGTTTCCAACACCAAACACATCATTTAAATTTCTTGTCCACATACTGACAGAAGCTTGCATACAGATTTAAAATGTGAACTGACATTTTGAAAAATAACTGACAGTCATGGCACAAGAGTGCAGTGACCTCTGTCCTCCAATATTCTCTTGTTTTCTTTAGCTTTTTTCCAAATGCCCAAATAAGTGCAAGCTGCCCAGAAACAAAACGCGTATTACCAGTGAAACCCTAATTCCAAAGAAAGCAAAATACAACATTTCCATTGAACTTACTGGGCCAGGGAATGAATCTAAACTGTGGAATTTACACACACCACACAGAGCACTTGTGCAGATTTCTGAAAACATACACTCATCGCATTGCAGGGAATCAAGCCTGCATTCCTTGTTCAACCAAAATTCCCTGGCTGGAATAACAGCTTTAGATGTTATTTTTGTTCTCATTCTGTTTTACTATGTTAAATCACCAGATTTTTTTTCTTTTTACTTAAGATAAATGTGTGAAAGTGCCTCCTTTCCATTCATAGATGTTATCTTCCTCAAACTTCAAATGATTCAGCTGGGTGAATGTAGAGTTATAAATAATGTATCAAGATACATACCAGTTGTTAGGAAAAGAAAAAAAACAACCCTGAAGGAAGAATATCACTGCATAAAATCTGAACATTAAAACTGCTTTTTAAAATCAATCTTTAATTGTTTTTATTACCTCCTAATCCAGGTCTGAGGCGATTATCATAACCATCCAGAAGTCTGTCTAGAATTCTTGTAAAGATGGTGATGTTATTCTTAGCTTCATCTTCCAGGGAGTCAGCCAGCACTGATCTAAATGGACATTTTACATTTTAGGAAGTGCTAGGTATGTTTTAACATACACTCAACATGCAGTTTTTTCAGGCTGGCCTTTAACTAGCTGTGCTCTAACAGGAAGGGTATAGTTTAGAGTATATGAATACACAGTTCATATATAACAAGTTTAGAAATAAAAGAGTTGACGACACACTATTTAAAATTTCCAAAAGATCATTTGCTAGTAGCCTCTACTTCCAGTCATCATTGCATTAGTGTGAATGCTACTTCAAGCTCCACTAACACATTTGATTGTGCAGGTGCAAAAAGAGCTTCCCAGGCCTCACTGGCATGTCACTCCTGGACTGAAAACCCTGGTTCTCACACACAAAACCATCTCCTTCCATCTCTATCCTATCTGTCCTCATCTAGGTATACTCTATCTCTGGATAAATCCTGTGGATATGCTTCCACCCAATGGTCATGTAACGTACATGACCAGAAGAATAACATGAGGGAAAACTCCAGCGATCATGCTCAGGGAGTCCTCTGACGCCAGTGGTTGGTGGGTGGGAACAATAATGCTGACTAGCAAGCTGCAGGATAGCTGTGGATAGCCTTCATGTTTCTAAAATGCTATTTTGTCATCAAAAAATCCCTCTCTGCTGTTCCACTAGATGCAGACAAACCTTATAAAAGTTAGATAGAAAAAGAAATCATAAATGACGTGTCAAGAAGAATCTATAGATCACCAATTGTTTCAAACTTCCTCGATATAGATATAGACATTATAGTCCTTATGGGTCAAGTCTCTGTGGAACATGCTAGGGGCTGCAACAAGAACCTGCAGCTCAGCCAGCTGTGGTGCTGGACAGTCCTCTGGGACCTGGCCACCCAGATCAAAGTAGTTTTGTGCCAGGGAAACACTCACATGCAGAAAGCCTTACACATGCAAATGCTCCTGTGCCAACAATTTTAAGCACTATGCATGTGAAATGCATGAGCTCATCAGTCTTACCTATTTAATACCAGCACATTGGTATAAAGGAAGTAAAGCATCATATGCTACACACATTACCCTTTAGACCGGTTTCAGCCACCTAATATTTTACCTGAAATGTCTGAGTATTTATCATCTCTAAATGAATTGACCAAGATATTCTGAATGCCATAAAAGCAAGGATTTGGGTGATATTTTCTCTATAGCAAGCTACAAAATGATTAAAGACAGGGCTTTATGTTGGTCCCCAATTCAACAGCATGGTGGAAGTATTTAAATGTAAATCATTGCAGTCTGTGCTTTCTATCACATAAACCACAGAATCAACCCAAATCAGATAACTTATAAAGAACACATCAAAATGTCATGTGTGATTTTACTGATGGCCAGTTTTTTTCCTTAATTACTGGATGGCACATTTTTTGTTTTTAAAATGTATTTCTGTACTCTATGTCTCTGCCATTTTCTAAGCTTCTTTTTGAGATCCCACAATTTTTTAAACTCAAGATTCCACTAAAAAATTAGAGCATACAAGTATATCAAATTAGGGTCTATTCCTGCAAACTTTACTCAGGCATAAACTCCTTAATTACGCATGTAGTCTCTGACGTCAGTAAGATTACTCACTTGAGTAGGGTTTGCAGGATCTGGCCCACTGTGACTCAACTAATACTGCACCATAGTTAGGTATAAAGTGAAACAGAAAACATAGTTTCAAGAAATATTTTGTTTACTGGGAAACAAACAAAAATAATTGCAGACTTTTTAAATCATAGGAAACATACATTATTTCGCATAAGACCCTTATTATATTAGGACAGGACCTACTGCAACCAGAACCAAAACAAGTAAACCAAAGTTACAAACTACAATTAATTGCATGTTTAGGGACTGTGAGCAATACAAACATATTATGAAATCAAAATTACTTCCTTTTATGCTGCCACTTTAGAAATTCAGAACTTTAAACAGCACAAGAAAAGTTGATTAATAAATGATGCTATTGTTTTATTGTATGATTGTGAAGTTGTATGCTATCTCCACCTAGAGGTTTAAAGCTTAAGTAACATTTTGAATTCTGTTATGTTGACCAAAAAAAAAAAAAAAAAAAATCAAGAAAAAAAGGCATGCCCATATTACAAAATATTCAAGCATTATTTTAGAGACTGTGATTTGGTATTTGAATTCACGATAGTCTATTTCTCCATCTTGACTGTTCTCTATGGTACACAGCGATACAGTAAGTCAAATCGTTAAGATCCAGTAAGACATTTAAAGGAATTGTTATTTTAATGGTGAAATAAAGCATCAATGCACAAACTGTTTAAGGACATGAGATTAGGTTTTATAGTCCCTAAACTACATTCTACTGCATTTGCTCTGGAAACTGTGCAATACTGCATTCAAACGCCTAAGAAAGATTTCTTTATTACATTACTACATACTATACTTCTCTAACCTCTCACACAAGCTTACCCGCAGCAGAACGCAACATACATGTTCGTACTGAACAACAAAACTAAAACATCCTCTCACCTTGTTGGTAGCCACACCAATAAAACGAGAAGAACCAACTGCATCTCGGAGAGTGCCAGCTTCCTCTTCATCGCCGCTCCTCGCAAAACCTAACCGTGCAAAAAAAACACAAACCCACTCTCAGCGACAGTCAGTCTCCACCAAGCAGCGCTTTCAACTTAACCCGAGGAAAAAAAAATATGTCACTTCACTGGAGAAAAGAAACCACTGGATTTCCGCAGCACTTTTCACTACTGGGAACTTAGTGTATCTCCATCTTTCCCAACGATCCTGCTCTGTGCAAAGAGGCAACGTATGATCAGAAGCGGCATGTGAGCCGGCGCATCAGATGCTTTCCTGTTCCGTGAGCTGAAAGCCCCGAGACAAAAAGGCACAAAAAATAAAAAAAACCGTATGTATGGGAGGATGGGGGTTTGACCACCCCTCGCCTCGCTACGGCACACC